AAAATTTATTCCGATGAATAAAAAATCTATTCTATAACTAAACTTATGGAATTACCATTCCATTTCCAAGTCATTTTTTTAATTAAAAAAAAAAAAATTCAAGTTCCCAAAAAATTCTCATGTTCCAAGTTTAAAAACCACCATCACCAATGCCTTTCACCATCGCCACCTCCACTGTCACTGCCACCGCTATTACAGCCTTTTGCCTCCAACACCTCCACCATCAACATGTATAGCACTGCCACCTCCACTACCACCACCACCGACTTCCACCACTTTCCACCACCATTGCCTTCTACCAACACTACCTCCAATACCTTCCACCACTGTCATCGTCATCACCACTGCCATTGTGTTTCATCTACACTTTCGTTGTTCACCACCATCTTCCACCTAAACCGTCGCCGTGGTCACCACCGTCGCCTTCCACCACCACTATTGAGGGGTATTTTGGGTAATTCAATTTGAAATTCATTTCATTTTAGGTTTTAAATTGGTTCAACCAAACACTAAAATGTTATTATCATTCCATTCCTACATCATGTTATACTTGCAATCAAATATAAAATGAGAATGATTATTCCATTCCATTCCCATTCTGATTCCATTTTCATGTGCATTTCATTCATTTCTTGCATACTAAACACAACATAAGAGTTTTCGTGTAGGTTATCACAAAACTTTATTTCAATATGTAATCATGCATTACCTTTGTGGATACAACAACAAACAAAAGCCTTTTTACCAATTGCTTAAGATCGGCAATATGAATCATATTCTTCGAATGCACCCTATTAGAAGTCAAAATCTCAATCAAACTACATTATTTTTCTTTACTAACTCTACTAACATTAATTAACTTTTGTCACTTTTTCTACGTACGCAGCGCGCTTAAAAGTTTTTCTGTCAAAACAAGACCGATCTAGTTATAATCTTTTTAATTCAATTCCAAGATTTTAAGATTAGAAGTGAAATTGAAAGTTGTTCGTGAATCTTAGCTTGATAAACTTCGAGAAGGTGAGAACAATATTTTAGCAAGGTGAGTTAAAAGGTAAGAACACTTGCATGAATCGCATGCTTTCAAAATTTGAGAATTGCAAAAATTTTCTAATTGTAAAAACCTTCTATTTAGGTTTGGCCAACTTGAACCAGTTCGAGTACTCCTGAACTGGTTCAAGTGTTAAAGTTGGGTTTCTAAATTTTTTACTGGCCAACTTGAACCGATTCAAGACAACCTGAACCGGTTCATTCCTGTAGATGTTTTTGGAAATTTTGTTTCAATTTTCTATTTTGCATAAACTTTTACCTTAATGATCAACGAAATTGACTTATTTTTCAAGTACAATTAGGGTTTCTAAAGTCTATAAAAACTAAATTTCCCACTTAGGGTTTGACAAATTTTTGCATCAATAATCTGATTTTCATTAAGAGCCTATTCTGTAAGATTTTTCTAAAAGCATACACACTTTATAGACAAAAGTAATGGCTACACATCTATCCTATTCGGAATCACTCGCTTCATCTAGTTGAATGACAGAGAAGTCTTGGTCTGCAAATTCAAAAACAGCACGATTCCGAAAATCTTCGAAGCCGTCAAAGTAGGCCTTCGACATAATCTCCTTGAAGGTGGGTGAGGCTTTAAACTCACCCACTGCATTGGCTCTTTCCACCATTAGTTTCTGGGACATCTCCTTGTTGAGTTTTTGCACATAAGATGCATAACAAGCTCGTTCTGTTTCTAACTCAGCACGCATTGCTTGTAGAGCGACCTCATGTTTATCACGTTCCACTTGTAAATCGGCTTGGTGTTGGGAGCGAGTAGAAGGCAACATATTGGTGTAATGCTAACCTCCTTTTACAGCTAGACACGACAAGTAATACGCGTGTGTATTCACCTGTACGCACGTGGGAATAAAAAGTTACAATGAAGAGGAAAAGAAAAGCTAAATAAAAACAGAGGATGGTGCGAGAGTTAACCCATGCGAGATCATGCATGAGTCGATCTACAATCTCAGTTGGAGGGCGTGAATTCAGATACATCATATCCTCCTTCAACAAAGACTCGCTTATCTTCTTAAAAGCAAGTTGAGCATTGCCTAGAACAGATGCTGCTGAAGAGTAGGGATCTGAGGGGAGTACCGCTGCTTCAGTAAGGAGTGGCATAGTCCCATCCACAAGCTGATGAGGGAATTGCGAGTCGGATTCGTGTGGAGAAACAACTAAAACAGGTAAGACCCTTTGTGCTGTAATAGTAGGCTTCTTTTTTTTCCTCTTGGCGGGGAAAGTAGGTGGGAAGTCACTTGAGCCTTCTTTGAACTGAGCTAGAAGCCTCTTATTAAGTTTTCGGGATATAGTTACAGAGGACTTGCCAATTGGCTGAGGACCAATCCCATGGGTAAACAAAGTCTGAGGTGTCACGAGTGAAGACCAGTCCATCACTGGGTAGTTAAAGGCTTCCTTTATTCGCTGGAGATCATCAAATGAAACGACAATCTCTTTAACGCCTGAAAGAACAACAACTCTGTTAATAACTCAAACAAAATTTACTTTGAGTTTTAAAACATAAGAGGGTATCATTATGGACAACTCACCGGTGGAATTCTGATTACACCACGCACGAGGAATGGAAGTCCCTATTCGTAGGAAAGCACTTTCTTCAGGAAAGAACTCCCAGCCATCACCAAAAACGAAAAAGAAACTGCTTTTCCATAGTTTGTGCTTAAGGGGAATTCCAGAGATAAGAATTCTGTCCCGTGGGGAGAAGTACAACCAGTCACCCCTTTTGGGAATGTAGCAATGAAGAAACTCTTGGATAGTGAGCGAGGTATTACAACAAGCTCGCCACAGAACTAAACAACCCATCATTGTTTTCCAGGCATTCGGGGAGAGTTGAGTCGGAGCAAGATTAAGGTGACGCAACAGTTCCCTAATAAAAAGAGGGATTGGAAAACGCAATCCGGCAATGAAAGCAGACTCATAGAAACAAATCTCAGTTGGGTAAAAGGAGGACGCTCTATCATCAAGTGAAGGAAGTCTGAGAGCAACACTGTCTGGAATTGAATAAGTTTGCCTGATCTGATCCAGATCCTGTGAGGTAAGGGAGCCTGCTATATCCTGTACCAGATGTGTCTCTGACGGAGCCGAATCAGACTGGCGGTGTTCCTCGTCTGACATAGTGTTAGATTCTGGGTAAAACATGCTGGCAGTAACACACGCTACTGTATGCAAGAGCCTAGCTTCACAGTGACCTATAAAATTTTCTAACTTTGGTCTTGGTATACTGAGTTGGAGGAAAAAGCAACAACGAATTAAATAGAAGCAGGAAGAAAACGAGGGCATGGAACTTACCACATCACTACGACTGGCACTACCTGGCTTTCTGGATGATGGAAGTAATTTGAATGAATTTTACTCGAACCATCTCGGTTTATAGCAGAAGAACGTAAACAGATAAGGAAAGTATTTCTGGTGGAATTCTAATAGAAATCTGTTTCGTGAGGGACAAGCAGCTCTCAGCAGGCTATTTTGCGGGCTATTTTATTTTTACAAGGTAGAATAAGATTCGGAGTTCGAATAGGACAACCACACTGGCAGCCCTGCATGAGTTACCTATGTGCCAAAAGGTAGGCTGCCAGCATGGCAGCCTGCCATATATACAAACTGTCAATGTGGCACTACGGTCCTGCCAATGAGGCACTACGACAAATATTTCAAAGGCAACTACGGTCCTACAAAAAAAAAAATAGGAAAACAAAAAATGGCAATCTAAGTCAAGTTAATGGATAAGGCTCTACTATTTCATAATCAAACCAACTTATTGTAGAAATACAGGGTGAACGGTTCTACAATTCCAGCTATTTGTTATTATGTCATATTTGGGAATTAACGTTCCGATGGTTTGACAAGCAATCCTCCGAAACGGGGGCAACTGATGATTATAATTTAATTACCCGTGGATAGGGGAAGATCGTTAAAGTAACGCGCTATCTCATAAGATTGAGATAGGCTCTACAGACTAAGATAAGGACTACGACTAAGATAAGGGTTACAGATTACGATAAGAATTGTAGAATACGATAAGGATTAGGCCAACAGATTATGATAAGGATTAAGGACGACATGGACGCTACGTAACATCCTGACCCAAAGTCCTATAAATAGGGAGGGCTAATGGACGTTTGGAGGTAGGCAAAAAACCCTAACTCAATATCTCGATTTCTCCAGAGAGATTATCATTCACACTGACTTGTTCGTCGGAGCCTACTCCACCGGTAACACACCGGTGTTTATAGGATCACTTTTTCTTCTCTTTATTCAGGAAGTCAGATTAGATCCGGATTGCGCAGAATCCATCTTTAACAATGTCCAATGTAATTTATCTAAAAGAAAAGAAAAGAAAATAAAATAGAATAGAATAACTATGACGTAACAGGTTTACTTTAAAAAGATATGCTAACTAAGAAAATATGGCGGACCCAAATACCACATCCCACAGATTAATTTCAACATAAAGTTAAAAAGCCTGCTCTCCTGTATCCAAAGGAGACCAATCCAATGCATTTCCTTTCAAATACTACGTATGAACATAGAATATTCGATTTTTAATTCCACGGATTTACTAGTTTGCAGTTTGTAGCACGTTGCGGTACGCACCTGCTACCAAAGTAGTGTGATAAATATCATTTTTAATTAACGTCATGTATGGTGATGAAATGCATGCTTGCATTTCGTATTCAATAAATTAAATTAATTACCTCATTGTTAATTAATTAAATACCCTCTACCAGATTTTCCAACACATGTATTACTACATTTCAACATTTTATTTTTTTTTACAATTACATAAAACTAAGATACGACTTCCCTCTGTAAATTCTAGAGAGAGAGAGAGAGAAAGAGAGAGAGAGACAGACAGACACAGAGAGACAGAGCAGCCCCACTTGTATGCTCTTAAATACCATTCCACCATTTGTTTCAATGCATGTATTTGATCATTTCAGCATACTTTTGCAACTGGACAGGACTTTAGACTAAAGAATTCTTCTAGTTTCTAGAGAGAGAGAGAGTCAGGCAGAGAGAGAGAGAGCAGCCGCCTGCGTGAATAAAAGGGGATTGTGTACGCTACTTAGTTTGCCACGCATATAATTTAAACATATATATTCACTACAGCCACAACACTATCTTGAATGTTTCTCTAGCTAGCTGCTCTTCTTTTTCTTCTAAGGAGTTCATCTTATCATATATCTTTGGATTATATATCTCATTCAGCCTAAAATTCATGGATGCTCATCGACAAGATATGTCTTATAAAGCAAAGGTAGATATATGATTTTCTCTTTCTACAATTTTTTTTGACTTGCTTTGGGCATATATGGCCATGCATTGTGAAATGGTAAATCGTCTCTGTTATCCACGTACGTGCAGCTAAATAGGGCTGTGTGGTGCCCCCAACACAAAACTCCGTACCTGTACACCAAAACACTGCCGTTTTGGTGCAGAGATTCAGTCCCTGTGATATTAATAGTGTCCAAGATGTTATTTTGATTTGAAATATTTTCTTTCAAACCAAAGATTGTAACCAATTCTACGGCTGAATTAAGGTTATTGAAATGAGTGTATATACATATTTTATTCCAACTGGTATTAGGTCCTTATTTCCTAAAAGAAAGTCAGGGATTTAAGCCTCCCTATAAGGCAAGGTGCGTGTGTGTATACTGCTTTTAACTTTCAAAATAAAATAAAAATTTCAAGATAATGTCATATTTTAACTTTTTGGTATTATACTCTTAAAGTTGGATAATTGGGATCCGCAACTGATTTATGTAAATGTAACTGATGTCATCATGATATCATTAACATTTTTAATTTTACATTAGCTTCAATTCACGTAATATTTGTCATATTATCTCACTGTCGGATCTTTTGTCATTACTTTGTACTCTATGATATACCTAACTGGAAATTATTAATGATACAATCTCTCTCAATGTTTAACACACTAAGGAACTTTGAAAATTTTTAAAGAGATCCTAGAGAAAGTTACGGATTTTTGTTTTTAATATTTCCTCTTCTTTGTTTGTTTAGGTGGAAAATTTGGTATCAGAATTGGATCGCTTAGGAAAAGAGAATGATACTCTTAAATTCATGCTAGAAGTTATGAAAGGTCAATGCAAAATCCTACAAGCCCGCCTCCAGAAAAAGAATGAATTACTTAAGAGTAGCTCCTTAAACGAAAATGGATCGATTATCGGCTCAAACAAGAGGATGAGGACTGAATTTCCACTCTCTACGCCATCCCGAGTTTTCGTAAGAACAGACTCAAGTGACAAGAGCTTAGTAAGTAATTTTTGTGTGTGTATTTGTGTGTGTTATCATATACTCCTACATGTTTTATCTATGAATTAATTCATTCTCTCTCTATATATATATATCCCTTATATATGTTTTCTTAATTTGCAAATTTTAGATAGTGAAAGATGGGTTCCAATGGAGAAAATATGGGCAGAAGGTTACTAAAGATAATCCATCACCTCGAGCTTATTTCAGATGTTCAATGGCTCCTGGGTGCACAGTCAAAAAGAAGGTACGCTGAAATGATTCACCAATTAGTTACTTAACGGAGATATAGTAATAATAATTCAATAATTAGTTTATTCAACCAAAGAAAAAAAGAACAGTCAAGTCAACCATATGCATCAATGAAAATATGGTTGTGACAAAGTTTTGATTCTCTCAGAGAATGGTTTTTGGATTATATAGAAATATGGTTTAACAATAATATCATTATTTACTATTCGAATATATATATATATATATCTCATTATTGACTTTGAATAGATTCGAGAATGAATGAAAGTGAACGGATAGAAAGCCAAGGTTTTATGTTGTCATTACAAGTATATTTTAGCTATGGTTTGATAAAGTTTTGATTCTCTCAGAGAATGGTTTTTGGATTATATAGAAATATGGTTTAACAATAATATCATTATTGACTATTCGAATATATATATATATATATATATATATATCTCATTATTGACTTTAAATAGACTCGAGAATGAATGAAAAAAAACGGATAGAAAGCCAAGGTTTTATGTCGTCATTACAAGTATATTTTAGCTATGGTTTGCAAATTAAGTTTGGGCTGCACTCTAGAAAAAATACCTCACTTTTTACCATAAACCATAGTTAGTTCAATCTAACAATTATTAACATTATGTATTTGAATTGGCCTAACAAAAAAATTAAAAGAGTAATTTATTTAACTAATAAATTGAAAATTTTATTAAATAATTTATTTGATTTTTTACAATATCAAAATAGTGTCTTAATCTAGTGGTTAAATAAAAGAGTTCATTAAGAAGAGAGAACTCTCGTGATAACATTATTAAAAAAAAAAAAATGCATATGTGTCCCTTGTATATATATATTTTTTATAAGGTACATGAAATTATTGCTGTGATAACAGTTATAAGTATTGAAAATTGATCATAGAATTTTTCTTGGATAACATAGAAATGTAGTTTTGAGCGCAAAAATAGAATAAGGTACATGAAATTATTGTTGTGATAACAATTAAAAGTATTGACAATTGATCTCAGAATTTCTCTCGGATAATTTAATATAGGGCTTACTCAGTTGTCTTAGTTGTAACTCTGAAAATAGTTCTTAAGAATTGAAAAAATAGAATACTGTTTTCAGATAATTATAAAAAAACAGTTGTCTAAAAACGTGTTTTTTTGTTACTCAGTTTTATAAATATATATATATATATATATATATATATATATATATATCAAAATAATGAACCAAACAAAGTTTTTATAATTTTTTTAATTTTTAGTTCTCTAAAAACAGTTTAATTTTTAGAGTTGCAAAACAAACAAGTCTATAATTTTGAGCTGAAAATAATTAGACAGGCTAAGATTGAAGCAAACATTAGTGATGAAGTTATATATATCAGTAATATCATTATTTACTTTGAAAAGAATCAAAAATTAACAACAGTGAGTGGGTGGAAAGCAATGGTTATTGGAAAAAAGAAAAGGCTGCTTATTAGAAAAGCAATACTTATTGGAGTCAAGAAGTAAAAATATGCATCAATATTACAAATATATTCAATAATAATAATAATAACACCAACGAAGAATCAAGTTTGCCTTTTTAGTTATTTATTTATTTATTTTTTTGCTAACAACTACGGTCAATTACATGAATCACATGTTTTATTTTTTGTTTATTTAAGTCATAACCTTAGTTAGTCTACCGTGCTATCATATTCTTACTGTCTAACACTACTAACACTAACTTTGTTTTGCATATATATATATATATATATATATATATATATATATATATTATTTTTAATGTGAATTATGTCATTTTCATTTGTTAATCGGTACATTTAATGGTCTTTCTTACACATATCCAAACTATCTTAACTAATTTTTTCTCATTGTATCTTTTTTTTTTTTTTTTTTTTCCCCCGTAAATTTCTATAGGATAAGACTAGTGAAAATATATATATATATATATATATATATATATATATATATATATATATCACTTTTCCCACAATCTGTTTTGGTTTTTTTATTGTTATTATTTTAAAAAAAAATTAAGTTAGATGCGCTCTAATTAAGTGTTACTCTTCGTGACCTCGCGGTTTCAGGTGCAAAAATGCATGGATGACGAGTCTGTTCTGGTTGTGACTTATGAAGGAGAACACAACCATGGACCTAATAGCACTGCAGCTGGAACTTCGACATCTTTAATTGATAGCTCGATCAAAGGCTCCGTGACTGATTCCCCTCGTCCGGTTACAGTTGGTAGCACCTCTCTTCGGCCAACCGTTAACCTTGATCTTACTCTTTCCAGGGAAAACAAAGATACTACAACGCCGTCTCAGAATGTAACACAAGACCATTTCAAGAATAACAAAAACAACAACAGCAACCGCACAAGAATTGGACAATATGTTACATCATTGACTAAAGACCCTAATTTCACTGCAGCAATAGCTGCAGCCGTTGCTCGCTCCTTTACTGAAGCTTAAACCGCCGAACCAGACATATGAATTCTTATTTTTGTCTACGGAGGGCAGATCTGTTAGGATTCGAGTTTGAGTTGATTAAATGTATATTGGAAAAATTATTTAGAAAAGTTGATATCAAGTGTGATGGTAAGAAGTTATTCATGTCAATCTAGTTCTCGTTTAAGAAATCGAATTGTGTTAGTTTTCTTCTTCGTTTTTTAGTTAAACTTTCAAGGATTGGGGTGCAACTTCGACCGGTTGGACAGTTTTAGAGTTTGATCTAAGCTTCCAGATAAAGAATCCTCACCTTAAATAATTCAAGCTCGAACTCAAATTGCTCCAATTTGAAGTCCAATCCAAGCTCAAGTTAGAACTTATATTTTTCTGACTCAGGTTAAATTCGGGTTATAGACTCGTCTATTTTTTTCTTTTTTTTCTTTTTTTTTTTTTTTCACCACACACATGTTTCCATTGAAACTCAAACCCTTAACCTTCTTTTAAAAAGTAAGGTCCGATGGTAGGGACAAGGATCATCTGCCGTAAAAAACCAAAATATACTATTTGCTATCTCCGGTCTCCTTCCAATCTTCATCGCCGATCACTGTCTTCTTATCAAAATATACAACCCGCTTATTTTTGAGCTTCTAAAATTAAATTGAACAAAATATTGGATAATATAGTTCGTTATTGTTTAGCCTTCTTCTCTTAAATTGTCTTTTAGGTCGGGAGATCGCAATAGTTGACAAGTATATTTTGATTTATATTTTTTAAATAATTTACCATTAACGTGATTTAAATAATTAGGAATAATTTTAATTTTGTTTAACATGAATCTCAACACCTTAAATACATTGAAACTTGTTCCCAACACCTTAAATCAATTGTATACGCCGTACATCTTTTAATCTTAACTTCTAAATCAATTGATTACACATTTTAATCTTGTTCTCAACATAATTTAATCTTTATCTCTAACACTTTTTAATCTTGTTCTTAACACCTTTAATCTTTGTATCAATACCATTTAATCTTATTCTCAACATCTTTAATCTTTACCTCAACACCATTTAATCTTGTTCTTAACACATTTTAATCTTGTTCTCAACACCTTTAATCTTTACCTCAACACATTTTAATTTTGTTCTCAATAATTTTAATCTTTACCTCAACTTCCTTTAATCTTTACCTCAACGTCATTTAATCTTATTCTCAACATCTTAATTTAATTTTGTTATTAATAACTTTAATATTTACCTCAATCTCATTTAATTTTACTATCAACATATTTTAATCTTTATCTCAACACTTTTTAATCTTATTCTCAACACCTTTAATCTTTACCTCAACGTCATTTAATCTTACTCTCAACACAATTTAATTTTGTTTTTAACACCTTTAATCTTCACCTCAATACCCTTTAATCATTACCTTAACGCTATTTAATCTTATTCTCAACACCTTAATTTAATCTTGTTATCAACAACTTTAATATTTACCTTGACCTCATTTAATCTTGTTCTCAACATAATTTAATCTTTATCTCAACAATTTTTAATCTTTTTCTCAACACATTTAATCTTGTTATCAACAATTTTAACATTTATCTCAACCTCATTTAATCTTGCTCTCAACATATTTTAATATTTATCTCAACACCTTTAATCTTTATCTCAACGCCATTTAATTTTACTCTCAACACATTTTAATTTTGTTCTTAACACATTTAATCTTTACCTCAACGCCCTTTAATCATTACTTCAACGCCCTTTAACCATTACTTCAACGCCATTTAATCTTATTCTCAACACCTTAATTTAATCTTGTTATCAACAACTTTAATATTTACCTTAACCTCATTTAATCTTGTTATCAACATAATTTAATCTTTATCTCAACACTTTTTAATCTTGTTACCAACACTTTTTAATTTTGTTCTCAACAACTTAAATCTTTAAATTAAATGTCATTGAGAGCGTTGAGGTAAAGATTAAAATGTGTTGAGAGCGTCGAGGTAAAGATTAATCTTATTCTCAATGACATTTAATTTTGCTCTCAACACTTTTTAATCTTTACTTCAATAATCTCAAAACATTTTAATCTTATTCTTAATATATTTTAATCTTTACCGCAACGGTCTCAACCTCTTTTAATCTTGTTCTCAATGGCATTTAATTTTACTCTCAACACATTTTAATTTTTACCTCAACGCTCTTAACAAATTTTAATCTTTACCTTAACGCCATTTAATTTTTGAGAGACATTGAGGTAAAAAATAAAGGTGTTAAGAATAAGATTAAAATGTGCTAAGAGTAAGATTAAATGGCATTGAAATAAAGATTAAAGTTGTTGATAACAAGATTAAAAGGTGTTGATAACAAGATTAAGGATGTTGAGAGCAAGATTAAAAAGTATTGAGATAAAGATTAAAATATGTTGAGAGCAAGATTAAATAAGGTTGAGGTAAATATTAAAGTTGTTGATAACAGGATTAAAGGTATTAAGAATAAGATTAAAAAGTGTTAAGATAAAGATTAAAAAATATTGAGAGTAAGATTAAATGAAATTGAGGTAAATATTAAAGTTATTGATAGAAAGATTAAAGTAAGGTGTTGAGGTAAAGATTAAAGGGCGTTGAGGTAAAGATTAAAGGTGTTAAAAATAAGATTAAAATGTGTTGAGATCGAGCAAGATTAAATGGCATTAAGGTAAAACTTAAAAGTGTTGAGATAAAGATTAAAATATGTTGAAAGCAAGATTAAATGAGGTTGAGGTAAATATTAAAGTCGTTGATAACAAGATTAAAGGTGTTAAGAACAAAATTAAAAAGCGTTGAGAGCAAGATTTAATGAGGTTGAGGTAAATATTAAAGTTGTTAATAACAAGATTAAATTAAGGTGTTGAGAATAAGATTAAATGGCGTTGAGGTAATAATTAAAGGGTGTTGAGGTAAAGATTAAAGGTGTTAAGAACAAAATTAAAATTTGTTGAGAGCAAGATTAAATGGCATTGAGGTAAAGATTAAAGGTATTGAGAACAAGATTAAAAAATGTTGAGATAAAGATTAAAATATGTTGAGAGCAAGATTAAATGGGGTTAAGGTAAATGTTAAAGTTATTGATAACAAGATTAAACTAAGGTATTGAGAATAAGATTGAATGGCGTTGAGGTAAAGATTAAAGGTGTTGCGAACAAGATTAAAATGTGTTGAGGTAAAGATTAAAGGTGTTGAGAATAAGATTAAAATGTGTTGAAAGCAAGATTAAATAGTGTTGAGATAAAGATTAAAAGTGTTAAGAATAAGATTAAAAAGTGTTGAAATAAAAATTAAATTATGTTGAGAACAAAATTAAAGTGTGTATCCAATTGATTTAGAAGTTAAAATTAAAAGATGTATGTATATAATTGATTTAAGGTGTTGAGAACAAGATTCAATGTATTTAAGGTGTTGAGATTCATGTTGAACAAGATTAAAATTTATATTTAATTATTTAAATCACGTTAGTGGTAAATTATTTGAAAAATATAAATCAAAATATACTTGTCAACCATTGCGATCTCCCGACCTAGAAGACAATTTAGGGGAAGAAGGCTAAACAATAATGAACCATATAATCTAGTATTTTGTTCAATTTAATTTTAAGAACCAAAAATAAGTATATTTTGATTGGCGAGGAAGATTGGAAAGAGACCAAAGATAGCAAACAATATATTTTGATTTTTAATTTTTTAATAATTTACCATTAACGTCTTTGTTCTATTTCACTCTTAAATTATCTTTTTAATAAGCATACCTTAAATGAAATTATTTATACTACAGCATTACCCATTTATAGCATAGGATTCTAGTCCTATTGGTAGGCTTGTCTGTTTGATTATGTTAGTAATACTTCTTTTTATATTTCGAAGAAAAAACCTTCAAAGCAATTTTTTTTTTTTTTTTCAAAAAATAAAAATAAAATTCATGCATAACTTTCAACATGGAAACGATTCAACAATCTGAAAGCCAAAGTGACTTGAGATCGGATTATTGATCTTCAACTCAATCCCGACCATATCAAAATGCAATTACCAAACCACACCCCAAGACAAATTGGACTTGGGTTCCGTTTACTTTATTTTTATTATTTTTGTTAGTGTTTGGCTAAAGTGCGGGGACGTCCACTTTACGACTAACCAGGCTTAGGCCGAGCTTCACTATGTCAAGCAAATATTTCCAAAATTACAGCCAAGTGGGCTTGTAATCTTTGTCTTATTCGACTTAGCGACGGTGTACTTAGACTGCTATGATGACTTTTTAAAGTGATTTTTGTATTTCTTTTTTTTTAAAGAGATAGTACTTCTTTTAAGCAAAAAGTAAATTTTTCATATTATCGGACTACGTGAGAAAAATAACTCTTAATATTTATATTTTGAATAAATAATACTTATATTTTTTATTTTGAGTATATAACGTGACAAAAAAGACTTGAGGTTATTATTTTATTAAAATGTATGTTAAAAATATAATATTCCAAAAACATCATTGTTTATATACATATATATGTATGTAGTAATATATACTATACTAAACATAGCTGGATGGGGAGCCGTCCATGGTGCTCACCAGGTCGTGTTTCGGTGACCTGATTGTTCGGCAGAAAAAGGGCAGTGATCTCGCCGCTGCAAGGTCCGGCGACCTTTCCGGAATGAGAGGAACTGCAGAGTCTGAATGATGCATGCTGAACTGAGGTTGGAATGAAGATCGCCGGACCTCCGGTTTGGGCTTGGTCTCGCCGGAACTGTTGAACTAATGCAGTTGAGTTTGAGCTTATTGATACTGCAACAGTTCGGCTGGTTTGGTGAGTTCGGGATCGAGTTTGGAGGGTATTGAGTTGACCCGGGTGAGAATGGAGATGATGAGATTGAGTTGGAACTGCTCTGTGGTTTTGAATTCTGATGGTTACCAGACTCACCACTCATTTTTCTTTAACCAATGATGACCTAGTTGCTAATATAACAAATCCAGTAACAATTATATAGATATATACAAGTCTATATATATGTGTGCAAATATTTTGAATATATAGTTTCTGCTATACGGGTTAAACTTAAAGGCTGCACAGAGAGAAAGAGTAGTACTGTGTTTTGTTGGGGCTAACTAAGTTTTGCTGCAATATATATAGAAAGAGAAAGAGAGAGGGCAATGAGGAAATGAAGATGACAGAGAGAGATAGAGAGAAGTGGGAAAACGAAAACTCATCATGGTCACCCGTGGTGGCGAGGGCCATGGTGGGAGGAGGTGCAAGTGGCCATGGTGATGCAAGCGATATAAACGGAGAAGATGAAGAAAGAAAGTGTTTGAATCTTTCATTAGTCTTTTTGCACATTTAACTAATTTGTATATATTATTTAAATTATTATTTGCTTCAAAATTAAAATGTTGGTGAGTTCTTAGAACATATAAGAAGTTATACGTTCTATATGCATACAACACTTCTATTTTTTTCTTCGCAAGCAAGAGTATAAGAGCAACGGAATTAAGTCATGACCAATGAAAATTTGAATAAAAACATGCGCATAACGTAAAAAGTACGTTCAGAACATGAAAACAACTATTTAAAAAGAGTGTGTGACTTAGATTGGGCCTAAGTACATTCTACTATTAAACAATTGAAAGCGTGCTCCATGCAACTTGAAAAGTTAAGTCAGAAATTCTTGAAATTGAATACCAACAATGGGAGGAAAAGCACTAAATGCGACCCTATGACAATAAACAAGATCGATGTATCCTTATTTTATTTATTTATTTATTTATTTTATAGCAAGATATACACTTTGAGCTACACTGTTAAAGCAAGCTTCACAAAACTCAACCTTATATATTAGAGCTAGAAAAAGATCGAAGATCATTTTTAAAAAGCATGGAGAGAGCCAATTAAATTAAGGCCCAGGGGCATGTTCCACACACCCAACTTTAAAATAATTTCATTTTTATATGTATAAAATTTTTAAATTCTAAAATTGTCCCCCTCAATTTTTTTATTTATTACAATGTCGCCCCCCTAAACAAAATTTGTAGCTCCCTCCCTGCAAAGAAGAGTTCAATACAGAAGTCAAGACAGTGGATAAGACAAAATAGTTTTCAGAGATGAATCTGACATGAGGTTCAGTACAGAAGTCAAAGAAAAAGTCAATACAGTGGATAAGACATAATAGTTTTCAGAGATGAATCTGACCCCTCATGTCAGTATAGATGCAAAATTCCAAACCATTCTGGAAGAGATTGTTGGTCAAAAAATAAGAAGAAAATAATAATGTAGAGAATGACGAAGCACATTTTCATGAAGATAAAAATAGAATCAATTCACAATAAATATTTGGTATTTGAATAGTTGTTGCGGTAATCTAGGACAAGAAATTAGGAGGGTTTGATTCAAACCACAAGTGAGACTTTGAGATGGAGAAATGAAAAATAGAAGGCAAAAGATTTATCATTGTTCTCAAATTTCACAACGCAATGTAACAGTTTATTCAAGATGTTCTTGGATTGGATTGACCCAGGGCGGAGTCAGTGACTGGGCCAGATGCCCCACTGGTCTGATCCACTCACTATACATATAGTCGTCTTTTTTATTTTTTATTTTTATTTTACATGTATATATATATAAATTATATAATACCCTTCTAAAATTATTAGTTTTTAAAATTCTCTCTTAATTTTTTCTAATTTACTCTTCAAATTTCTTAAAAAAAAGTTAAATTGTTCTTATTAAAATAAATTCTAATTTTTTTCCTTTTTAAGTAGTTATTTTTTTACTTTTTTTTTCATATTTTTCCCCTTCTACTTAAATGATTTTTTTTCTTGCGCCCCCTAAACTAAAACTAAAATCCTGCTCCGTCCCTGATTGACCCCAAATTTGTCATATTGGGCAGAAATTGAAAGGATGATATTTTGTTTTGTTTTTGACAATGATGTGTGATAACAAAAAGAATTGATCGACTAAACAATTTACAAAAAAAACATAGGCATACCCTATGGCCCAACTACCATTAGGTCCCCGGGCAAAAAAAAAAAAAAAAAAAGGCCCAACATGACCCAGCCAAGACATCTGAAACTTGTAAGCCCAAAAGAGGTTCAACCAAATCAGCCCAAAAATATTCATTTGTCTAACCCAAAGTATACAAAAACTACTTTGACTTCGGGTATTATTTTGAAGGAAAATATTTTCTCTGAAAGTATACATATTTTTTAGGTAAAATATTTTATTTTATTTTTATTCTTTTAGATTGAAGTCGAGGTTAAAGTCAAGTTCATAAGGTTAGATGTAGTTTTTTACATATAGGATCAAAGTGAGTCCCATATTAAAACATCTAATGGTCTAAAAACTTACTTTTTAAGTAATGGGCCTGAGATTTCAATTAGTATGTCACGGTTCTTAGTAGTATTTCAATTTTTCCAATTAATAAACCCTTAAATGTATAATCTAATACATTTAAATGAAGTTAATAATGTGGATTTAAATTTTATTTGACAAATACTATTCTTTCTCCTCTTGTGCGTATATTTGGATGAAAGCAAAATGGTTGGTTGGGAGGGAATTCCACTCTCCATCTCTCTCTCGGCATCCCTACTTTGCTTCCTCCTCTTTTTCATCTTCTACTAAACGTAGACTAACCTTTTGTTTGGAATGAGGGGACTTGATGGGATTTAGATCCAAAATAAGATTTGTCTAGTTTGAAATGAATAAAAATTGGAAACAATATTTGAAACTCTACAATCTAGAGTGTTTTAAAATCTCATAAAAAAAATGGTTCAATTTCATAGTATTTGGATTTTGATGAAGTAAAATTTTTAGTATACTTAATTTGACTATCTTAAACTTCAAAAGAGTAATATACCATAAATTAAGATTTAAAGAATAAAAAATAAAAAATAAAAACTAAAAAATTGATCATAATTTGTAGAACTTGAGTTTTGGTTGCTGACAACTCGATTCAGGCTCAATCTTAAATAAAATTATTGATGCCTGAAGTTTTTGGACTGAAAATCAGGCCATACCCAACCTGTGTCAGACAATATATCTGCAACCTTAGCCTCTTTGGGGATTCCAGATTCATAGACAACTCTGTGACCTCTACATACAGTAAATGATCATACCAGAGAGATGCATGCGTTGAGACAATAATTAATAATGTATATAGGGTTCACTTGCTCACATCTCCAACGGAATCCAAACGTACATCTCCAAACTTGCTCAGCAAATAGACCATTCAATCATTCCATGCAAGTAACAAAAACGAAAGGAGATAGAGGATCCCAGTGTCTGATGCCTCTATTGCTATTGAAAAAGCCACACAACTCACCATTGATAGTCACAGAAAAAGCAGGGGTAGAGATACACATATAGATCCATTCCTCCGAGGGAATTGAAGGGCATGATCGAAGACAAGTAATGATATAATTCCAATTAATAGTGTCGTAGGTCTTTCCGACATAAGGGAGATCCTTGTGATAGTCTATATGAAGCTCTTGCACCAACAGGATGTTATCAGATAGGAGTGAAGTCTGCTTGGTTAAGGGATATGAGGTAGTTGACAACTTGTTTGATTCTATTAGCAATGACTTTAGTCATGCACTTACAAAGAGTATTACAGCAGGCTATAGGCCTGTAATCAGGCATTTAAGTTCTTGGGAGCTAGAGCAAGATAGGAGGTGTTCATTTCTTTGAGAATACATCTAGAATTGAAACTAGACTGAATAGCATAAATGATCTCATTCCCAACCACAACCCATCATTTCTTGAACAAGTAAGGAGTAAAACCATCTGGGCCAGGACTTTTAGTTCCCATCTTTCATGGAGAAGAGAGCTGTTGTAATCTCCTACGACCTTACATCTTCTTGCAAATTGCTCTGCCATTCAGGAGGAGGAGATTTGGGGAACCAAGAAGGTTTACATTTATGGGGTGGAGACTGCCTCCATTTAAGAAGGTTTCTGTAGAAGTCAACGATCTCACTTTTAATATAATTTGTAGAGGTAATAACTATGTTATCCTCCCTAATGATGGACTTGATGTGGTTAACAACCCTTCTAGTATTAACAGTTTAACGAAAAAAAATTGGGCGTTTTGATGTCCCAGTTGTAGCCACTACATAGATTTTCTTTCATTCCAAGTCAAATACACATTTTTGTATCTATAGGCGGCATGTAGAGTGCCTAATTAATTTTTAATTTCTTTATGACAAATTAAAGAAAAGAAAAGAACTCGAACAAGATTACACCCAGTCGAAACATTAGGCGCTTTGTTAACTAAACTACTAAATAATAATAATTTATTTAGAGCACACAAATAAATTTTCATTTTCAAATCAATTCAAATTCTTTTTTCTTTTTTAAAATCCAAATTCCAGAAAAGGGGAAAAAAAATATCTAAACCGTTCAAAAGCCAAAAGATAAGATCAGATTCAACGGTCACGATCAGATAATTGATGCATGTACTTCGAAACCGCAGGATTACGACAAATGGTAAGAATAGTAAATCATCTTCGTCGTCTCTGCGTCAGCGTTTCTCTCTCCTCTTACTCTTTTCCTTTCCTTTGGTTCCTAGAGAGAGAAAGAGGAAAAACTCTTATCGAAGATAGAGAGAGAATGTCTGACGAGGAGCATCATTTCGAATCCAAGGCCGACTCTGGAGCCTCCAAGACCTTCCCTCAACAAGCTGGTACAATCCGCAAGAACGGCTATATCGTCATCAAAAATCGCCCCTGCAAGGTCTCTCTATATACACACGCATTATGTGTATATCTAATTAATATAGATTAGGGTTCGACAATCTTGGTTTTGATCTTATCAGATTGTTGTATTAATGTACATTGCTAATCTCTCTTTGCCTGTTAATGATGTTGTGATTTTGGGGTTTTTATGCTAATTTAGACCATAATGTCATGTTGCATGTGCATGTAAATATATATCATGATGGACTGTCTTTTCTTTTTTTCCTTTTTTAATATTTCTATGATCATTGAATTTTGTTTTGGGCGTTTTATGTTGATCTAAGAATCATTGTTTCTTTACTTGCAATCATTTGATATTTTTTTCTTTCGTTCTCTCCCTGCTAATAAATTTTGCTTTTGGGTTTTATATGTCTGTTTTGGTCTTCGTCATATATGAGATTTTGTGTAATAAAAATTTTGATCCGACGAAAGGGTTTTTTTTTTGTTAATTAATCTATTGTTGCATGGTGTGTGTGAAGCGAAGAAGCCTAGTTGTAATAGAAGGTAAGAGACGAAAAGGTTTTACATAATAGGAGAAATGACTTTTAATAGATAAGATTGGAGAAGAATTCATGTGGAAATGACATTTAATAGGAAAAATTGGAGAGAGAGAATTCATGTGGCGAACCTCATTCATATGAGACTAAGGCAAGGATGATGATTAGGAACATCGCTTGTTTGAAGGAATTTTGATTGGATTAAATAAGGTTTAGCCAAGAATACATGAAAACATTACTCCATTGTTCCCTTTAAAATACCCGTTAAAGTCGCAGTACCCTTTGGAAGGATCTTCTTGTGTACCAAATTCGTTTTTTTTTTGTGAAATTTGTCAAAAGTGTCTTTTCTGGGGTATTTTTCTGTATCAAATTTTTGGATGATTATATTTTATCTTGTTTTGGTGCTCTTGGATTTATGGTTAGAATTATTGTTTTGAGTAATTTACAAAACGAGTTTAATTTTTCTTGTGAAAAGGGCAAAAAGCTCAAAATAAATAAATAAATAATAAATAAGAAGAAGAAATGTAGGAGAAACAGAGCCTTCAAATGTTTCCTTTCTGTTTAAAGTAGTATGATATAATTGTGTTTCTTTTATACTCACGGAACAGTATGCAATTTTCTAAATTTTCAACTGAGAAAAAGGGATTAAAACAACTGATGTTTGTACAAAATGGAAAAAAACAATGAAACTGCACATCTATTGCATTCTTGTTATCATAGGACCTTAGATTTGTCCATGACCATTAGAAATCAATTGCCCATTCTTTGGTAGCAGATTGAGATATGAGTTTTATTTAACATGATTTACGTAAATATTTTATATTATAAAATGCACAAGCAAAGGTGTTGGGTGTAACATAGAAATTTGTATTCCATTTTTTAATTGGAAATTGGAATTAGAGAAATTGGAGAGAAATTTGGACATGTGATGTAAAATAATCCTTCAATGATAAGAGTTGAAAAGTTTTTATGTGCCAATAACGACATTCAACGTTTAAATGAGGTCTTAAAGTGAAATGCTGCAGCCTCAAAAACGCTTTGAGGACTCCAAACGACTTGATACAACAGAATGAAGTTTTGGTTAATAACAATTGAATCAGACTACTGAAGTGATGAAGTAGAAGCAACCATAAAGGTACTAAAAATGTTACTTAATTCTCACAAAATCAATCTCAACTATAAATAATTGGTGGAGAATGTCCTGCTCGTAGTAAAAAATAGAGTAGCTTTGTTTATTCGTTCGTTCATTGTCTTTTGATCCATCAGATAATCTCTGCTTCTTCAATTTGATCTGTTAATTTTGTCGAAACAGACTGAGACATAACTTATTTATCATGTGATCACTTTGGAGGATTGTTGAAACAGGTTGTAGAGGTTTCCACCTCCAAAACTGGCAAGCATGGACACGCTAAATGTCACTTTGTGGGGATTGATGTATTCACTAACAAGAAACTCGAAGATATTGTTCCATCGTCCCACAACTGCGATGTGTGAATCCTCTTTTATCTGCGATTTCCCTGTAAAGTTTGAGTGTTGTGTGTTATCATAGATTGTGTCTGTGTTTTTTTTTTTTTTTTTTTTTTGCAGATTCCTCATGTTACCCGTACAGACTATCAGCTAATTGATATATCTGAAGATGGTTTTGTAAGTGATTTTAATAGGAAAAGTTTCTAATCTTTATATTTAGTAAAATATCCCCTACCCTTAATAGGTCAAGCTTCTATTCCTTTGAAGGAGAAAGCATCACAATAATATAGTGTGTGTGTGTGTCTGCACACTCGCATCTCACCCTTGTTGAGAGATATATGCTTACCTCATGCCATTGACAAACTATCTATATTTCTTTTCGGAGTGCATGGTATTCATTATTATTGGTACTTGTTGGTGATTCAAGTATTGGTTTGGCGATATTTATGAAGTAAATTAACTTCAATTTTGTTGCAGGTGAGTCTATTAACAGAAAATGGAAACACCAAGGATGATTTGAGGCTTCCCACCGATGAAAATCTGCTCGGCCAGGTATATCTATGCAGCTGTAGGTATAATATTTGCACTGATTTTGAACTTGGATCAGTTTTTCCATTGTGACTTAGAGGTCATAGGTTCGAAACATGAAAACAGCCTCTCCACATGCGGAGGTAAGGCTGCGTACATCTTACCCTCCCAGACCCCGCAATGGCAGGAGCCTCCTGCACTGTATTTGCCCTTAATTTGCTTTCCCCTTCCCCAATGATCAAAATTCTTGCAAGGAACAACCAAGCTCTAACTTTCTGTTAACGTTTCCTTTTCTTGTACTCGTCTATAATGGAAATTCAGTCAAGAAACGAATAATGAAAAAACACATTGGAAAGTGTAAATCTGGAAATTTGATAGATTCCAAACTAATGTGAAAATATTTGTCAAAAAAGACTTATTAGTGGGGAAAAGTATGACTCAATGCTGAATATTTCAAAAAACAATTCACTGTACAGGCTTTTGATGACTGCATAAAAAAGTAGGGTTGAAGAATGAAGATGAATGGTGCTGTGAAAATGTTATTGTGGAACATTTGTTCAGTCCACAGAGCTTATTTGTTCATTACTTGTGTCTAATATATATATTCGGTTGTGCTTTTTGTGTTCAGATTAAAGATGGATTTGCCGAAGGGAAAGACCTCGTTGTGAGTGTCATGTCAGCCATGGGAGAAGAACAGATCTGTGCCCTGAAGGACATCGGCCCAAAGAACTAAAACTGAAGGCATCTCGAATTTAGATGCCTGCTCACCACATGCATGATGAGCTCTCCTTGGACAAGTTCTGTAAGTTGTGCAGTTGAAACATATCTTATTGTATCTTTCATTTCCAAATTTATGGTACATTACAATATGACTACTACTATATCTTGTTCTCGCATATTTTTGGATTTTTGGGTTGTAACGAAGACTATGTTGTGTTACTTATTAAAAAGAAAAATTGAGACTATGTCGTGGTTCCTTGAGATTTCGATTTTTTTTTTTTTTTATTTTTGCCTTGAGATTTTGATTTGAACGTGTAGCTGTGGGTGGATTTTTGTCTTATAAGAACAATACTGATCTGAATTTCGAGTACTGTGGATTTTATTTATTTATTTATTTTGGTGGGTCGTGTGTTCCCGCGAGTGTGACCATGAAGCAAATTCTCCAGAATAAGATGGTTGCAGAAGTGGAGAAGTTAGAAGTGGCTAAAGAAGTCCAGGAAAGAAATTAGTGTTCTGAGAATGGACAACATTGACACTATGGAGAAATAGAAAGGAATAGGAATAGCCATTTTTATGGTCAATATATGCTAAAGTATGTCATCGTGTTACCAAACCTTTGTTATTGTATCTTTTAATTAGAAGCAAACAGCATACTGTTGGACATCCCATACAGAGAAGATCGATTAGCATGAACTGGATCCTCTCCTTAGTCATATATGTCCCATGTTGAATGCAATAATTTTACATGTAACAAACTTTAAATTGTGAATACAATAACTTTAAATCGGGAATGCAATAACTACGTAAATGTGTTAAATTCTCGATTTAATGGTGTTATAATGTTGCAACACGATGTAATATGTTCCGTGAGTGTTGTATATTCAATGTAAATTTGTTGCATGAGTGTTACATTTTGTAATGTAATTGTGTTGCATTGTGATATAACTGTGTTGTACTGTGATATAGCTGAGTTGCTCCCTCCCGTGCGCAAAATAGTGCACTGGATCCCCTAACATAGGAGGGATTCGGATTCATCTCCAAATAGTTGGGCACGGAAGGTAGCAAGCAAAAGTTTTTTAAAATGGTCCAACTCTCAGATTATATATTTGTGTGTTTTTTCTTTTTTGAAGTACTCGTTTTTTCATTATATTATTGTTCTTTCTTTGATTCCATAATTTTTTTTATTTTATCGAAAGTTTAAGTAAATGCACACATACATTCACAATATTGTAAGTATGACTCAAACACACAACCTAATTTTTATGGAGAATGAGATGTCATACCATCGAAAACTGTAATAATATTAATTTATTTGTTACATATACCATTGCCATTCCAATCCTCATTTTTGTCTTAGTGAAGACACAACATGTAGGCATGTAAGCAACTGATCACTAATCCTGAAGGCCTTGTTTGGATTGAGGGAATTGGAGAGATTTGGAGAGAAAAGAAAGGGAAGGATAGAGTTTAGTGTGTTTGGGTGGAGGGAATTGAGAAGAAAAGAAATGATTGGGAAGGATTTGGAGAGATAGGCTATCCCTCCTGCACAGTGAAATCAAATCCCCTCAACTTTGAGAAGATTTGAGGGGAAAGGAAGCAAGTGAAAGAGAGACAAAATTAGCCTCGTGTAGTTTCAGTTTGCAGTTGCATAGAGAGAGAGAGAGAGGGCAAGTTCAGAGTTGAGAACGAGAGACAGATGGAGGCTGAAATGATTTGCTTTCTTTATATATATATATATACACATACATACATACATATATACACAAGCTTCTTCTACAAATTGGCAGTTGCAGAGAGAGACAATTGGCTGAAATATCGGCCGTCGATTTCCACACTTCGTCGTCATCGACTTCTCCTTCTTTGTTTCGAAGAGAGCAAAGTAGCAGCCTTCGTAGCTTTTCTTCAGTCACATACATGGGTAAGTCCTGAACTCTTTATGAATTACGATTTCTGTAAGTTATCAGCCTGCTGTCGATGACGACGAAGTGTGAAAGCTCTGATCACGAGATGGGAAGCTCTGATCTGAGTCGTCATCGACTTCTCCTTCTTTGTTGTCTCGAGATGGATTTTCGTTCTCCAAACTTTGGGGCTTTTCGAGCACTGGAGGGTCAAGATCGTCTGATAAGATGGATTTGAAGAAATCCATGAATGAAACAGAGAATAGAGAGATGGAGATATATATATATGTATATGCCGATATATATAAATACATATATGTAGTTTGGTTTTGATTTTTGGAACAATCTGATGATGGAAACTGATAGATATAGGTTTTGATCTTCTGATTGCGGTAGATTTTGTTGTATGCAGTTGGGGGGAGAGAGAGAGAGGATCTGTGAGAACGATGGAGGCGAATTAGGGAGGCTAAAATGATTTTGCCCTGCTAAAAATACCAAAAAGGGTAAAATGGTAATTTTATTATTATCCTTTCCCTTCTTTTCTCTCCATTGTGCTATCTAAACAACAATATTACCAATTCTTTTCTTTTCTCTCCTATTTATCCAAACATGAATATAAATTATAACTATCCTTCCCTTTCTTTTCTTTTCTTTTCTTTTCTTTTCTCTTATAATCATTTCCTTTCTTTTCCCTCCTGTGTATCCAAACGAAGCCTAAGTTCTAAAAGGAAAGAAAAATAGGAAACTAGATAAGACACGGGATACGGTGATACAATAAATTTCAAAATAATACAATAGAATAGGATTCGGCAACATAAAGAATAGGGTAGGATATGGCAATATAAAATTAATAAATTATATTTTTTATGTATACAAATAATTGATTTTATGTTATATATATGATTATCAACATTTCTTTATAGAATATTATGATTAACAAACAAAAAAGAGTTTAGAGTCGTATTGCATAATTTGATTGATAAATTTTCTACTAAATCACGATATATATCTCAATAAAATTTCAACTTTTCTTAACAATTATTATATTATAATATTATTGTTAGAAAAACTGTATTTTATTGTTCAAAAAATTGTAAAAAATTATATTACTAAATATCTAGGAAGCATTGGATAATATATTTTAGAAAAGAAAATATATATATATATATATATATATATATATATATATATATATATTATGATTTTGAATACGATATGTATTTTGAGTATCCGAGAAGTATACGTCGCTTTTGAAGAAATATTTTAATGCTCCTATTTTATTGATGACATTATATCGCTAGCTAATTAAATGTTGACACGTAATAATATGACACATAAATAAATGCACTTTTACTCATATGACAAGATTGAATTAGTTAAATCAAAGCACTTTTACTCACATGACAAGATTGAATTAGTTGATATTGATGAGACCGTTGACATGATGTCATCGTTGCAAAAATTGCTTCCTAGTAAGTGAAAAGGAAAATATTAAATGACATTGTATCATGAGAAGTTGGGAATTGAGACTAGCACATCTTAGAAAGAAGCTGATGCGTCGGACTGTGCAACCCTGTCCACATTCCATACAAACATAGCATTGTTTGCATGGTGTTAAAAAAACAATTAATCTCTTCAAACACCAACTGAATTATGATGTCATGTAACATTTTATGATTTGTTTGTTTTGCATTTCATTCTCTTAAACAAAGAGATTATTCCCCCGGTATGTGATATCCCTCCTCCACTCGATCAACCGAGACATTGTGACATTGATTTTTAAATGGGCATTATCTAGTAGCTTAGTTGGTAGAGCGTCTAATTTCCTTGAGCAAGTGTGTCCGTATTCGAATCTCTCCTCTCCTTCCTTTGCCAAAAAAAAAAAAAAATGATATATTGATTTCTATATTCTGTTTGAATTGACTTAAAAAAGTTCAAACAAATTTTTTCTGGGAATTAGCTAAATTATTAGAACAATATAAAATTGAATTTGGCTCAATGTTGCATTTGTTTTGACATAATACAATTTTATATTGTGAAATATTGTCATGGAGAACTTTCCCGGTGCAAAAATAACTTTTTCCCTCTTATTTCTAGTTAGGTCGTTATTGGTTAAAATCTAAAAATGTTTTTAAGAATGAATTTCACATGTTTGATATTGGGAAAAAGAACTCAACTAAGATATTCACATATATAAATGGGTTTCGATTAATAACAAATGAAATTTTAGACCAATAAAGTTGAAAAGACACAATTAGGAGTAATAAGTATAATCGTTCAAACGCATTTACATAGTGTTTTTTAACACAATATTTTTCAATGCATTACATTTCTTTTTCATCACATTATAGCTTAAATATTATTGAATGTAATGTGCTTCTCTTGACACAGTAAGCGCGCCCTGAATATTACTTAACGTAATGTTTGTTATTTGAATTTGAGATGATTCATGTACAAAAAGAAAAATTAAACAAATAAAAATGTAAATTATTTTTTGGTACAAGATAAATGTACTTTTAAGTTGTACATAGAACCAATAAAAATAAAAATAAAAGCATAAACATAAATATAAACGAGCTATGACTCATGTAGTTTCATGTAAGTTGGACCTGAATTTAATCCCACCTTCTGACAAATTAAGAGAAAATAGAATGCCATTTTAGTTGAAGAAGGTATAAGTACTAATTTGTTCATGGTGTATTGAGAGGAGGAAGCATTCTCTTATGTATATAATATATACATATACATATACATATACATATACATATATATCAAGCATACGTGGTTTTATGATGGTTTGATACTAAGTCACATAATCCTTCTTAATGGGTGTTACTTTCACGTTCCGAGCGCGCTCCTGTTCTTACGTTCTGTGCGCGTTCTGAGTCATATTCTCACTCTTTATTACTTAATTTTACCGTTCTCATGCTCCCGTTTTCGAATTTGCCCTCGCTCCTACTCCCACTTTATGTGACTTAGGTTTCATAAATAAAGAACCCATAGTTTGTTTATGGCAATCATAAATTAAATATCAATAAAATAGAATTGAAAACAAATTAATTACTACTTGAAACCAGAGTAGATAATTCAGTTCTTGAGCAGCATCAGATTAAGAAAGAACTAACTAAATCAACACATCCAAAATCCAATCTGGACTCAACTTGTACCATCCAAATTGCACCCAAGGCCGAAGATAAATTTTTTTTTTTTCATTTCACGTAATTATTATTTATTTTTTAAAAATTGTAATGTATTTTTCTTCATAATATTATTTTTATAATATGAGGAAAATGCAACTTAAATAAATAAGGATGAAAAAAATTAATATAAGAAATCAAAAACATAGA